ATCATGGAATGGTTTGGGAATCATGGAATGGTTTGGAATGGTTTGGGATCAGGGAATGGTTTGGGATCAGGGAATGGTTTGGGATCAGGAAACGGTTTGAGATCAGGGAATGGTTTGGGAATCATGGAATGGTTTGGAATGGTTTGGGATCAGGGAATGGTTTGGAATGGTTTGGGATCAGGAAATGGTTTGGGATCAGGGAATAGTTTGGAATGGTTTGGGATCAGGGAATGGTTTGGGATCAGGGAATGGTTTGGAATGGTTTGGGATCAGGAAATGGTTTGAGATCAGGGAATGGTTTGGGAATCATGGAATGGTTTGGGATGATTTGGGATCAGGGAATGGTTCGGGAATCATGGAATGGTTTGGGATCATGGAATGATTTTGGATCATGGAATGGTTTGGAATGGTTTGGGATCAGGGAATGGTTTGGGATCATCCAGTCCCCCCCCTGCCATGGCAGGGACATCTCCCTCCATCCCAGGCTGCTCCAAGCCCCAATATCCAGCCTGGACTTGGACATTCCCGGGATTTGGGACAGCCACAGGTGCTCTGGGAATTCCATTCCAGCCAGGAATTCCCAAATCCCACCCCAATTCCCCTTTTCCAATCTGGAGCCATTCCCTGGCTCCTGCCCCTCCAGGCCTTTCCCAAATTCCAGCTCTCCTGGAGCCCCTCCAGGCCCTGGAATGTGCTGGAAGCTCTCCCTGGATCCTTCCCTTCTCCAGGAGAACATTCCCAGCTCTCCCAGCCTGGCTCCAGAGCCTGACATTGGATCCATCTCCTCTCCAAGGAATTGATGGACCCAGGGCCTTCCCTTGCAATCTCAGGAAGCCACCAAGGCTCTCCCTTCCCTTTCCCTCTCTTTCCCATCCCCATTTCCCAGAAAAATCCCTCGGGATGGATTCGGAGCCTCCCAAATCCCAGAATCCCGGAATGCTTTGGGATGGGATCCAGGGACCTTCAATCCCATCCCATTCCAATCCCACCATCCCAGGCTGCTCCAACCTTTCTTTGGCCATTCCCGGGATCCAGGGGCAGCCACAATTTGTTTTACGTGTGAGGATTTCTTAAAGGGATTTTGAAAATGTTGGAATTTTTTTAGGGATTTTCCTAATTTTTCCTAATTTTTTTAGGGATTTTCCTAAGGATTTTAGGGATTTTTTCATTCCTTTCCCACTCAGCAATTGGAATTTTTTCCCTGTTTTTTAGTGGATGGGCCGATGTCAAACTGACCCATGAGCAGCAGAGGATTTTGAATCATAAAATCGAGCCTGGCCAGACAGTGAAAATCATGGCATTTGCAGGTAAGAGCCCAAAAGATAGAAAATAAATATAAAAATATATATAAATATAAAATATTATATATATATGATGTATATTATATATATAAAATATATATATAAAAGTAGATCTAAAATATATATAAGTATAAAATATAAATCTCGCATATATTATATATATAATATATAAAAAATAAATATATATAAATATAAAATACATTTCTCACATATATACAATATATAATATATATAAAATATATATAAAAGTATATCTAAAAATATATATAAATATAAAATATATATCTCATATTATATAAAATATATAATATATAATATATGAAATATATATAAATATAAAATATATATATCTCACATATATATAATATATATATAAATATATTTTTATATATATAAATATATAAATATATATAAATATAAAATATATCTTACATATATTATATATAATATAATATATAAAATATATATAAAAGTATATCTAAAAATATATATAAATATAAAATATATATCTCACATATATATATGTAAAATATACAGAAAATATATAAAAAATATATCTCACATATTATATATAATATATATAATATATTTATATATATATAAATTTATAAATATATAAATATAAAATATATCTCTTCCTTGTATTATATATTAAAAATATATATAAAATTTATATGACATATTACTAAATATAAAATATTATCTATATATCTCATAGATATAATATATATATTATATATAAAACTATATAAAAACTATATATAAATATAAAATATACCTCACATAAATATAATATATATAAAATATGTATCAAATATATATATCTCATATATATTATATATTATATATTATATATTATATATATTTTTATATATATAAATTTATAAATATATATAAATATAAAATATATCTCTCACATATATTATGTATTTAAAATATATAAAAAATATTTCTAAATATAAAATATTATAGGTATCTCATATATATAATACATGTATTATATATATAAATATATCTAAAACTATATATAAATAGAAAATATATATCTCTCATGTGTTATATATATAATATAAATAAACATATATATAAAAATATATATAATATATATCAGTATAAAATCTTGAATATATATCACATATAATATATATATAATATATGTAATATATACATAAATATATATAAAAATGCAAAAAATAATAATAAAATTTAAAAAATAAAATGTATAAATACATAAAAACTACTGGAAAAATTCCCAATCTTCTCCTTCCCTCCCTGATCCCTCTGTCCAAGGGATTGTGAGATTCCAAAGGGATCTGGGAGAAGAAATTGAAGGGGAAATGTGCAGAAAATGGAGGCAGGATAAAAACAGGGAGAGAGGAGTGGGAAATGTGGGACAGCCCTGCAGATCCCGAGGCTGGGAAAGGAGGAATGGGAGATTCCAGGTGTTGGAGGGGAGATTTCCCTGGAATCCCTGGAGGAGGAGCAGGTCCTGAAAGGCTGAGCCCATGGAAAAGGGATCAGTTCCTAAAGGAGTGATCCCATGGAAAAAGAGAACAGTTCCTGAAGAACTGACCCAATGGAAAAACGGGATCCAGGCTGGAAGAGCCCAATCCTGAAGGACCAACCCCATGGAGAAGGGAG